GGCATTTGCTGAGATTTCCAGGCTTTCATGCTCTGGAACAAGGAATTGACAGAGACATATGGATAATAGTAAAAATAGACAGTTAATAAAAAAAAGAATCCACTTACAAGACGGGAAACAGGTCAGAGCTGGGAGGAAGGTTAGACACTTAATGGCAAAGCTATACAAAGGATGACATATTTTACAGGTCTGCATAGCATTGGCTTTCTCCCCTACGTGCTATCTGATACGTGCTGGAAGGCCAGTGGTGATGGTGGTGTTTCTAGTTTTCTTGTATCTTTCCTATATGAATTTTGCAGCATTTTCACAAGGTTTTTCAGACCTCACTCTTTACTTTATTCTCCTGCTTCACTGTGGGAATTTTCCAGTCTTGACTGACTGATACTATGGTCTCTCATCCCCTGAAGCTGTCAGTCTAGACTGCTGCACAGGGAGGAAGGAGATGAACAGCTTGGCTGTTGCCAGCCCTCCTAAGAACCACTCCTCCTTCCCTCATAGAAACCCTGCGTGTGGCCTGCCAGTACTGCCTAATGAGTCCTGGGCTGGTGTGTGTGTAGAGTGGGTTCCTAAGGATTGCTCAAAAGGAGGAAGACAGTGCTGGGTGCAGTGGTGCATGCCTTTAATCCCAACACTCAGGAGGCAGAGGCAGATGGATATCTGTGTGTGTGAGCCAATCTGGTCTACATAGTAAGTTCCAGGACAGACAGGGATACACAGTGAGACCCCATATCAAAAAAAGAGGGGAGCAGAGAAGGAGGGAAGGAGGAAGGCAGAATACGGACCACAGGTCACGGACCACAGGTCACTCCCTGTTTCCTGGTACACATAGAGCTTTATGTTACATTTTTCTTCTTCTTCTATTTATTTATTTATTTATTTATTTATTTATTTATTTATTTATTTATTTAATATACACATACTTAGAAGAAGCATTTCATTACAACAGCATTGACATATTCAATAACAATTTCCTGAGCTAAGACGCCTCTCTTTCAAAATTGGCTAGAAGAAGCATTTCATTACATCAGCATTGACATATTCAATAACAGTTTTCTGAGCTAGGCTGCACCTCTTACAAAATTGGCTGTACATTTTTAGGTTTACAGTTGAATTATTACGGTTATACAATATTGTACTCAGTATAAAACCTATAAGACATAAAATTAAATGAGGTTTTAAACTTTGAAAAGGATCTCCATTTCATTATTAAAATACACAGTTTCATACAGAAAAATTCATTTTTAATGCAATTGACATTAAGATGTTTGCGCATGCATTTCTAATCTCTATATATCTGATTATTACTAGAATGTTACAATTTAATGTAGGCTGGAGGCAACCTTCTAGGGGCATCTATGAGCCTTCCACTTAGAGAGATGGAGAGGCTGGCATCTGAGGGAGGAAGAGAGAGAGAGTGGTTCTGACAAAGATGGCCATCTTGCTTCTGACTCAGTTTCCAATCTTTGCAAGACAGAACCTGTGATGATTTGCTTTGATGTTGACTTGCCACAACCTAGACTCAAGGAGGGATTGTTTCCATTGGGCTGGCCTGTGGGGGACTGTCTTAAGTTAATTGACGTGGGAAGACCCAGCCCACTGTGGGCAGCTCCATTCCCTAGGCAGGGTTCCTGAACTGTGAAAGAGTGGAGAGAATGAACTGAGCACAAGCAAGCGAGTATGTGTGCATTCATTTCAGTATGATCTTGACTTTGGATGTCATATGACTAGCTGTTTGAAGTTCCTACCTTGACTTTCCACACTCCCCATCTTCCTAAGTGGAAGACTTCTGGCTGGCCCTAGAAGGCCACATGTAGCTCGCATTAAACTGTGCCATGAGGCTTTATGTGCAAAAACGTGTGTGGGTTCCCAGAGCTAGTACCTGAACTACTCCCAGAGGATGTACACACCCGTCTTCAGTCAGGGGAGCACCTGGGTGCTGGGGTTGGGGCAGAGGAAGAGAACAGCTGGCAATGAGGAGCCTGGCCTTGGCTTCTCTAGGGTCTAGCTAGGCTGGGCAAAGTTGTTTGTAAGGTCTGCCAATTGCTCTTGGTCATTACTGGTGTGTCTAGAGATCTGCCTTGTTGCACTTGGTTGTTGGTGACCAGCCTTTTCTTGTGTCTGATCTGCGCTTGCCTGGCCTTAGACCTGCCCCCTCATGCCCCATGACTGAGCTAGTTCTTGGGAGATGGTGGTCTGTGCTTTTCAGCTAAGATGCAGTAGTGGCAGGGAAGTAGTTGCAGTGGCAACTTATCACTCATGACCAATTCTGTGATATCTGCCCTTTGTTCAAGTGAAACACATAGTAACAGGGAGTGTATTCAGTAATGTGGCTTCAAAGAGCAAGAAGGTCCCATAATGTGAAGGTCATATGCCCCTAGGAAACATGTTCCTGCCAGTCTCCTAACTACCAGTCCCTCTGCCCCTTGATTCTCCCTAGGTGATGTTGAATAAGTCTGGTCCTTGGTCTCAAAAGGATAATGAGAGACATTGAGGTTTAGTGTTGCCAACTTCCTACTCATCAGTGATGTGGGAGAGGATGAGGTGAGGAGCTCCAGGGGTGTCACAGGCCCAGCTGGATACTTTCTTCTTGACACTCTGATCTCTCCCCTGGAGATGTTTTAGGACCAGTTCAGGAAAAGGGTGTTTGAAAGCTTCCAGGTTTGGCAAGCAAAAATACAGGAGGCCAAGTTCCACTTGAATTTCAGAGGATGAATCTTTTATAAACATGCTCTAGGGGCTGGAGAGATGGCTTAGTGGTTAAGACCACTGACTCTTCTTGCAGAGGATCCATGTTTGATTCCCAGTACACACATGGCAGCTAACAACCATCTATAACTCCAGTTCCAGGGGATCCAGTGCCCTCTTCTGACGTCTGAGGGCATTGCATAGCAAGGGTTCACCTACCTACATGCAGGCAATACACTCATACACATAAAATAAAAATAATAAAATATTTTTTAAAACATGCTCTAATTGTTGCGTGGTATATATTTGTGTAGCCCAGGCTGGCCTGGAACTGCCTGTAAAAGACATAGGTCAGGGAAGATTGTTCAAAATAACATCTTCTGGATATGACTGGGCTATTGAACTCATGAACTCACAGAAGCTGTGGTTGCCAGCCTAAGACCTGCATAAGATCAAGCCAGTCAACACTCCAGTACAGAGAGGGATCACAAGGCCCAACCCCTAGTTGAGGAGCTATTGGCAGCTGATAGCTACTAGGGGAGAGAGAGAGTAGTGTGGCCCTTGGTAGGTTGACCATGTCCTAGTGGACACAGCCCTATACCCATGAGCATGTGGGCAGCACTCATTGGGTTAAAAAAAAGACATGATGTTGAGAGATGGGAATGTGGGAGGGATTCTGGGAGGCATTGGAATGGAGGGGGGATATGATCTAAATATATTTTAATCTTGCATGAAATCACCAAAGAATAATTTAAAAAATTTAAATAGGTACAGAATGGTCATTTAAATTTTAATATCAGATAAAAATACATTTTATGTATAGTCTAACTATTATTCTTTTTTGTTTTGTTTTTGAGACAGGGTCTCCCCATAACTCCAACTGCCTGGAACTCACTACCTCACAGAGATCTGCCTGCCTCTGCCTCTGCCTCCTGAGTTGCTGGGATTAAAGTTGTGTGCCACCATGCCCAGCTATCACTTTTATTCTTTCAAAATCTGAGAGTTTTCTCTTCCTCATCTCCTCTCTCTTCCTTTTCTGTGATTCCCATTTATACTCCCACCCCAACCCAGCTCAGGAAGGAGGCAGTCTTGTTCTGTTTGGCAAGTCAATACAGGATCCTGGGGGTGATGGCGTGGGGTGGGCAACTTGGCTCACCCTATTTCTGTCAACTACAGGCTGAGAGAAACAAGGCCAGTGCTGTGGGAAGATTGGTTTCCATCTTGTAAGATGTGTGTCAGACCCTGTCATCAAAAGTGTGTACGTGACTGTGCTCCTTGACATTGAATAACGCTTGGTGAGTGTCAGTCAGGTGTCATACTCAGCCCTCAGCTCCTTTCTACTGTGTGTCTCATGCACTCACAAAGTCCCTTAGTTTTAACCCATCCCTAGTTTATGTTGAAATCGACTCCGCTTGGCAAGAGTTGTGTCCAGACCTGGGGCTCAAGCCAGCGTCTCTGTGTCCCTAACATGGAGCAGGAAGTTAGAAAGAAACTGGAGTCCTGGTCTTGCTTCTGTTCCCCAGGGTTGTGAGGAGCATCAGGTGTGCGTGCCTCACAGACACTGCCTGAGCACAGGGCATGACACTGGCCCTCTCCCAGCCTCTGTGAGGCTCCTTGTACAAGCTGCTTAAGCAGGGTCATGACCTCTTCTCCCTACTGGAAGTGTAGAAATACCCAGGGCACTTCTCCTGAAGAATGTCATATCATCAAACCACTCTTTCTCCTTTGTCAAAGTAGGGCCTTAGGAGGTGGTATCCTGGGGAAATTCAGACTAAACAAAGAATAAAAACCTGGGTCCCCTTAAGACTGTATGACAGCAATGACTGGTCTCACCCCTTTGAGCACCAGTTTCCTTATTCTATTGTGGTTGTGACAAATGATGTGGGGGGCAGTGTAAGGACGGGTTAGGGTTAGGCTTTGGGTCTCACCCCTTTGAGCACCAGTTTCCTTATTCTATTGTGGTTGTGACAAATGATGAGCTAGACTTGCAAAGCATTTGGAACAATGATAGCATCCACAGCATGACAGCTGTGATCTTCTTTTATTTCATCAGCAGCTAGAGTAGAATGTGACTTCCTTCGCTTTGAGGAAAATTCTTTTAATTGCTTAAGATATGAACCGTGAGTTCAAAAGGAAAGAGATGATTATGGGAACAATGAATGGAAGAAGCCATGTCCCCAAGTCAGGCAAAGTTGGAAGTAGGTGCCTCTTGTCAGAGGAGACTCTCAAGAGGAAGCCACTGCCAGAAATCTGGGGGTTGGGCTACCTGGGTCTTCAGAAGAGCATAGGTCTCCTGCACATTTGACTCTGTCCAGGGTGCTGAAATCTGCCCATATAGTCTGTCTCTTCACTGTGACTGCTATGAGTCACCTATCTGCTCCCTGCCTCTGGTTCTCCCTTCAACTCTACAAGTATACACTAAGCATCTACTACGTAGGGAGTTGAAAAAAATTGATTTAGATGATTCTCCAGCCAAAGTTACTCGCAGCTTGCACGGAAGGAGTTCAAGCACAAATGTCTTAGGGTACATGAAGTCAAAGGCAGGGAGATTCATTTCCCTATTCTTGGGTCTCAGTGACACCCGCCTGCTGTTTTTACTCTTACTTCTCCCTCTTATGCAGCCTTGCTAACCTCCAAAGCTACACAGCTCATGCCTTTCCTGATTGTATCATAGCAGATAAATCTTCCCCAGGATAGCTCTTTCTCCATTCACTGGTGTCACAGAGTCAGTAGGACTAATGATCAATTTCAGGGATGAAGAGTAGGACAGAGAGAAAACAGGGGGTCGGGGGTCTCTGAGAAGTGGTGAAGCCATCTAGATAGGAGTGAGTTCCTCGTCGTATTTCTGCATGCCCTCATCTGGAAGCAGCACCTCCACTGTGAAGCTGACCTTCTTGGCATGGACAAAGCTATAGGTGTTGTCAAAGCGCAAGACATCTAGGAGACAAGTAAAAAGATAGGCAGTTGGACTTGACTTCACACTCTTTATCTCTGACCTGACTGTGAGGGAAGACAGCTTAAGTCCCACTGGCTTTGCTTGCCAAACTAGTCCAAATTCCCACAGTGCCTTTTTCTTCCTCCTGGGACCTGTCAACCTGAACAGAGCACGTAAACAAACACTGACCTTCTCCTGGCCTGGGCCCAAGACTGGCTTTTATTGCATCAACAGACAGTGGGAACAATGGGTGTTAATTATATACCATTGTCTCAACACCTGGACTCTCACATGATGGGGCATACGTGGGGGGACAACTGAGAGCATCAGAGACTTCCAAACCCTCTTGGACAAAGTGGGTACTGGACTAAGTCTGAGGCAATGGTTTTAACCCTTGGTCCATGGGTGACCTGACCAAGGATCCTCTCAAGACTGGGCAGAATTTTGTGCTTGTGCAGCTACACTGAAGCTGAGATGGAGCTGGAGAGCTTTCAGGTTGTGCATAAGTTGAGCTCTCAGGGGCTCATGAGGAAAGTGCCACCTGCTCTGTTGTTCTTTGCCTGTGTCTTGTGGTCCAAGTACCCTCAATCCCTCAGGGCCTATGTGTCTCTAGCTCTTGGTGCCTTAGCAGGTGTTTGAGTGTGGCTTAAGAGTGAATGAATGGCTTTAACCTGATGCCCTGGGAAGTGGCCACCATCCTTTTGCTTCATCCTCTAAATGATGAGGCAGGAGGTTCTTGCCTTCAGAGCCAGTGCCCAGCTTAGGTGGACTTACAGACACCAGCCTCAGAGCAGGTGAGACTCCCATCCTCAGGTACCATGTGGGCATTATAGCGCTGGCTGCTTAGCACCTCAGTCATCTCCCCAGCTTTCTGTCGCTCCCCCATCTTGGTCTTAAGGAAAATTCCAAAGCCGATGTCTGCACCATCAGATGAGAACTGCCACCTGTGGAAGGATAGGTTGCTGCTCAACATGATGGGTCCCTGAAGGGTTAAAGTTCAGCCATGTGGGGGGCAGCTTTAGTCTGTTCCTACCTGAGGACACAACCTGGAAACAGGATCTCATATTCCACCTGGTGAGAGGAGCCACGGCTGATCTGCACTGAGTGTTCATATTGGGTCTTCACCTGGTCCCGCACATACATGGACTTGGGGACATCCCCGCCGTAGTTTATCTGTGGGCATGGGATGCTGGAGGTCATTTATCCTGCATAAGACACTTTCACCATCACTAGAAAGATTTCTGTCCCTCCTCCCTTCCTCAAACCTTTCCCTGCCCCTCCAGCCTCTGGGCCAGGAGCTGCCACTGGAAGGTTCTTCTTCCAGCTCATACTTAAATAAAAATTCCCTCATTTCATCTTTTTCTGCACAGCTTTTTAGAAGCCCTCATAAGCCCTAATAAGCTGGACCCATCTAGCTTACCTAATTTCTACACAATAAGGTCTATCTGGAGACATTTGTGGAATGTATAAATAAGTGGGAAAGGAATCAGCTCTACTCACCCAACCCTCCCCTGTCCTTAGGCTCTGTGTACCTTGGTTATACACTTGGGGTTCCCATCTGGGTCAGTCAGGGTCCCCCCAAAATGGGCAGGCAGTTCCTCAGGACTGATGAGTTTCAGCAAACCTTCCTTCCAGCTGTCTGGAAGCAGGGAGATTGAAGGGGAGTTATTAAACATGGAAAGTACCAACCAGCCTCCCATACTCACCAGGACATCCTGAACTTGTTTCTCCAACCTCTGGAAGCTAGGCTTCCAGGGAAAACTTCCAGGTCTTCTAGGCCTCAGGAAATGGCTTTCCCAGCATTAGGTTGTTATGGAAACATGTTTGCCTTTGGCTGAAGGGTTTGGATATTCTTTTAAAAATATTTTATTATTTTTATTTTAAGTGTATGAATGTATTGCCTGCATGTATGTAAGTTGTACCCATGTTGTGCAGTGCCCACAGAGGTCAGAAGAGTACATCGGATCCCCTGGAACTGGAGTTATAGATGGTTGTTGGCTGCCATGTTGGTGCTGGGAACTGAATTCAGGTTTTCTACAAGAGCATCCAGTGCTTTTAACCCCTGACTCATCTCTCCAGTCCAAGTTTGGATATTCTTAAAGGTTTCCCATCATGAGTAGTAAAGCTGAATTGTGCCATTGTCTCAAGGGGACTTAAAGCTATGAGGTCAGAACTTTGCTGGGGTCACTCAGTGAGTAAATCAGATCTTGTGGTGGGAAAGAGACAACTATGTCCTAAAGGGCTATCAGCCCCTGTCATCACCGCAACCATCTCACATAATGTATGTTACTGTTATTCATATGCAAAACTCTAGGAGCTCAGGGGACAACTTGTGGGGGTCAGTTCTTTCCTTTCACCATATAGGAACTCAGGCCATCAGACTTGGTGGCAAGTGCCTTTATCAACTGAACCATCTCACAGGCCATTACATTTATTTTTATTTTTATATTTTTGGGCTTTTTTGAGGCAGGGTATCCCTGTAGCCCCGGTTGTCCTGGAACTCACTATGTAGACCAGGCTGGCCTTGAACTCACAGAGATCTACCTGCCTCTGCCTCCCGAGTGCTGGGATTAAAAACGTGCACCACCATACCCAGCCTACACTTATTTTTATAAAAATAAATCATACTGTACATATGGCTTTTGTGTGTGTTTTTGTGTGTTAGGTGCACGTGTGTGTAAGTGAGCATGCACATGCGTGCATGTATATGGAAGCCAGAGGACAACCTGGAGTGACGTTTCTCATGGTCTGTCCAACTTTTTTTTTGGACAGGCCTTTCATTGACCTGGGATCACCAATGACCAGTGAACCCCAGAGATACTCCTCTCTCCACTTCCTCAGTGCTGGGATTACAAATGTGTGCTACCCACTCAGTTTCTTTCCCTTTCTTTTTTTCTTTCTTTCTTTCTTTCTTTCTTTCTTTCTTTCTTTCTTTCTTCCTTCCTTCCTTCCTTCCTTCCTTCCTTCTTTCTTTCTTTCTTTTTTCTTAGCGACAGGGTCTCCTTGTAGCCCCAGCTGGCCTGGAACTCACTATGTAGACCAGGCTGGCCTTGAACTCACAGAGATCTGCCTGCCTCTGCCTTCGGAGTGCTGGAATTCAAGGTGTGCACCACCATGCCTGGCTTTTTGTTTTTTCTTAAATGTGAGTTCTGAAAATAGAACTCAGTTCCTCATGTTCAAAATGTTAGATTTCACTGACTGCAACTTCTGCAACCTCTATATGACCTTTGCTTTTTCACTTGACAACATATCCTATGACACTATTCACTTGTGAATTGCTAGGTGTGGAGGAGCATTCTTGTAATCCTAACTGGAGGCAGGAGTATCAGGAGTTCAAAGTTATCCTTGGCTATATAACAGGTTTGAAGCCAGTATGAGCTCCATGTTGCCTCAGAAACAAAACAATATTCCCTTGCAGCACTAGTTTCTATGACCGCCCACAATTCATCAAATGGATGCATCATTATGCACTTATCCAGGCCCTTTGTGTTGGACTCCCCTCTCTGAATCCTGGCTACTCTTCCTATTCTTCCTCTTCATCCTCTTCAGCCCAAGCTGCCATTAGAAGCACTGGGGTTACAAGTGCTGAAAGGAAGCCAGGGTACACAGAGCAAAGGCAAAGTAACAATGGATCCAAAACTGACAAGGAAGTGGGTGTGGAGGCCTCAGTCACTGAAAGGCTAAGACAGGGAAAAAGGCTTAGGAACTGGCTCTGTATAGTGAGAACCTCACTTTGGGGAAGAAGAAGCCTGTGGCTACAGGTGATATGCTGAGCTCTGAAGTGGGGGTGATGGACCAATATCATTTTAAAGCTTGTGTGGGGAGCACAGGGATAGGGGTGCTGGAATGACTTACTTCCCAACACTACAATTTTCCTGCGTGTGTCCTCACTCAGGAATGGCTTCATGAGGTTGTAGCCCACAGGGAACAGTTTGGTGGCTGGAGAGACACAAAAAGGAAAACAAGAGAAAGGAATCCCACTGGGCCACTCTTTCCATAATAGCTATAGCCAATATGTAGGAGAGTCATGATGAACCCTGGCAGTTCCAGTCCTTGCACCCAACAAGCCATCCAACCAACCAGCTAACAGCCAACTAACCAGTCATCCATTAATCACCTACCTACCCCTTAAATGAACCAGACACCCAGTCTTGTAATCAGCCAACCAATAAACCAGTAAACCTACCAAGAGCCAACCATGGGCTCAGCAAGTTGGCTGACTTGGTAACAAATAGCCTATGAATTCACCAACCTACTAAACCGTTAAACTTAATGAGGCAGGCAAATGGAAAAGCAATCAGCCCACTAAACAACCAGCTAGACATCCAATCAACCACTCTTGCCAGCCAACCAACCATTTAAACAAAGAGCCAACTATTCAAATAACCTACCAGCCAGCCAAACAACCAACCCAGCTAACCAGCCATCCAACTCTCAAATCCATCACCAGCGAGCTAGTCAGACAACCAAATCATCAATCAACTTGGCAACTAGCCAAGCAATGAGTTGACCAACCATCAAACAGATCTATCCTTTTATGTAACCACCTTCCCAGGGAACAGCCACCTACATAGTGATCACCCAGCTTTGTGCCATGTCTAGAAGGTGTACAATAAAAGTATATAATCAGAGCCCCTGCCTTCAATGGGGCAAGTGACTTGGTCAGAAAAATAAAATAAATAGGACTACAGGCCTGGTGGTACAGCCCTCTAACCCTAGCTACTCTGGAGACTGAGGCAGGAGGATTATAAGTTCAAGGCCTGTCTGGGCTATGGAGTGAGTTAAAGTCCAGCTTAGGGCCAGAGAGGCCCAAGGAGGGAAGAATCACCATGCATGGAGAAGGGACACATTTCTGGAGAAGCAGAGTTTGGAGAAGCAGAGCTGCCTCCTTTTGTAGTAAGGCCAGTGGTTACCATTTCCTGAGCACTTCCTCTGTCCCAGACACTAAGAGGCCTGCATGTAATCAACATGCCTCACAACAGCTCTAGGAAAAGGCATTATACTCTGAGGGCGAATGGTGAGGAAATAGAGGCTAGGTGGTGGAAGTCACTTCCCACATACCTTTCACGATGAGCATGAACTTCAGGGTCTCTGGGTAATTCTCTTCAAGGAGGCCAAAGAACTGTGGAACCAAGAAAGACCCTATTAGAGCCCCCATGCTCTTCTCCTTCCCCCTCTCCTTTGCCATCTCCTGCCTAGAGGTTTTTTGAGAGCTGAGAGAGGTTTTCCTTTCCTTTTTTGTCTTTTTGAGACAGGGTCTTCTTGTAGCCCCAGCTGGCCTGTAACTTGCTATGTAGACCAGGCTGGCCTTGAACTCACAAAGATCCCCCTGCCTCTGAGTGCTGGAATTAAAGGCATGCACCACCACACCCGGCAAGGTTTCCCTTTCCTCTAGAGGGGACTGTCTCACCTCAGACTGTTAGAATCACACCCTAGTAGTAATCACACAATCATCTTAAAGTAAATGTAGGAACAACTGTATCATGGTAGTGACTACCATGTATCAAATGCTCTCTGTTTACCAAGCACTGTACAAACACTTTACACTCACTGAGCCTCCTGGTCTCACTGTCCCTATTTGGGAGGTAAGGAAGCAGAAGTACGGGGAGGGGAGATAACTTGCCCAGGGCTAGAATTGTCTGTGGAAACTGGCCCTGTGTTGTCCCCGAGGTGTGTTCTGTGGGAATTTTCTAGGAAACATTTTAAAGATTTTTGTGGGTAGAGAGGCTAGGAAGACAATCATCTTTTATTTATTTGGGCTCTAAGTAAATTGCAAGGTCAGAGCAGACCAAGATAGTCATTCAAGCACTGTACCTGTGTATGTATATGTATGCCCATGGGCTTCCTCCTCACCTCCTGGTACACTTCCACCACAGGTTTCCAGAAGTGCTTCAGTCCCAGGCCCTCGCAGTCAAATATCATCACAATGGTTTCAATCTTCCTACCCAGCTGTGAGATGAGTAAGGAGTAGTGCCAGGGTCAAGATGTAGGTTTGGGAGATGGTGACCCAAGTACATGGCCCCTTAGGGTTCTTCCAACCCTCTACTCTGTCCTCAGAGGAGCAAATGGACAAGAGTGAATTCATTTCCCTACTCATCCATCCACCCATCATACACACATCCATCCATGCATCCTTTTCCTCACCCACATACCAACTCTTCCATCCACCCATTATCCATTCATCTACCCTTTCACTCACCCATATACCAGTTCTTCCATCTATCCATTCACCTATCTCCTATCACTCCATTTACCCATTCTTCTGATCCTATTGCTATTCATCCCTCCATTCATGCCCCATATATCCAACTGATATTTATTAAGCACATAGTTTGTGTTTGACCCTGAAAGTATAATGGATAATGCTTAATAATCCCGTGGTTCTTATCCTTAAAGAGTCCATCGTCTGGCTGTGGAGATGACAAGCAGCCAGGACTTCCCTGTTTTGTTAATAAGTGCTGTCGTGGAACAGTACAGAGGCTGAAAGGACAGAGAAGATAAGATTTTGATTTAGATGGGATCTCAGCGAAGGTGGCACCTAAGTTTGAGACCTACAGGATAGAGGAGAGAGCAGAGGGAAGTTGGGGAAGGGTGCAGCTGTGTTTGGTGTGTATGTGGAGGTGTTATACAGGCAGAAGGAACACCAAGGGCAAAGACTCAGAGGGAATAGTAGTAACCACCCTTGTTGAGAAATGGGTATTAGGCATATGTATTGAGCTGTATACAGACAGTCCAGAATTACAATGGCTTGACTTAATGTTTTTTTTATTTTATTTTATGATGCTGTGACGTGACACACATTCAGTCAAACCCATATGCTGAATGTTTATTTGTTGTGATTATTTTGAGACAGGATCCTGCTATGTAGCCCTAGCTGGCCTAGAACTTGCTATATAGACCAGGCAGGCCTCAAGCTGATAGAGATCTGCCTGCTCTGCCTCCTGAGTGCTGACATTAAAGGTGTGTACTGCCACACCTGGCCTGAATGTTGAATTTTGATCTTTTCTTGGCTAACAATATTCAGGAAGATGCTACTCACAGTACCCATCTGTACATGTTTAAGGAAGGCTAGACTAACCTGTAATGCTTAGTGAGTTAGACGTATTAAATGTATCTCCAACTAATGGTATTTTTTAAAACCTAGAATGGGTTTATCAGGATGTAACCCCATCATAAGCTGAGGAGCATCTTCACTTGTATCATCTCGTTTACTCTTTGTAGCCATTATCCCTCAAAAGGTGAGGATACAGGCTCAAGAGGCGAGGCAGCTCTCCAGGGTCACACAGCTGAAAAGCAGTAGAGATGATGTTTGACCTGAGAGCCCTCTGACCATGATCCTAAAGGACACAGGTGTGTTCCTGGGACCATGAGCCCTGGCAGCCTCACCTGCCTCTAGCCACTCACCCCACCCTAGGGGCCTCACCCGTTCTGTCTGTAGGTCACACTCATGCAGAATGCGCTCGCAGTCCCTCATCTTGGTCTTCAACAGGTCCTGCTTGGTGACTGAGAAGAGCAGTCCTTTGGGGTCCAGTGGCCCAACGATGTCATACCACACGGGACAGCCGTCACGGTCATAGCCACACAGACCCCCAGGCATATACTTCTGAATCACCTGGGCATGAAAAGATACATGACACTCAGCATTACATAGTTCTCTGGAGGCTCTCAGCTCGGGCTAACCTAGGATTTGCACCACCACGGGATAAAGCACTGGCTTGCCCTGACTCAAGTGAGAAAACTGAGACCTGCAGGGGAGGGTCTTCACATCTGTAAATAACAAAGCCCACTCTCAGTCAGGCCTGACTTAATGCTTCTGGGCCCATTAGTCCTGATTACAAGATCTCCTATGACCCTGTCCACGCAGAGTCTGAAGGTCAGCAGATCTGGTTCAAATACAGGCACTGCTGTTCCCTTGCTCTGTGCCCTTGAGCAAGTGGTGCCACCTCTCTGAGTCCTTTCCCATCTCCCCTTGTAAAAAATGGTTCAGATAATTGTTCTTTGGAGGAGAAAATCCCCATGATAATGCTGGCAAACACCACGCCCTGCCCATTGCACATGTCTCACAGGGAAGCTATAACCATCACTCTACAGTGACCCTAGTGTTGGTATCATTGTCACCAGGGCCTTGGTGGTCTGTTGCTTTCCCACCTAGACAGAATTCTTTAAGCGATGGGGGTGGGTGAGCACAGAGGCTCCAACTGACCATGGTGGTTCAGATACTAGTGTGGGAGTTCAGCCAGGCCTGAGCTCAGATCCTAGGCCTGAGATTAGACCCTAGTACCACCATTGGGCTGTGGGACTTTGGGCACTTTGCTGAATTTTCAATGGACAAAAGAGACAATAATATTCACCTTGTAGTGTTTGGATGATCAAATGAGCTCATGCTTAGCCATTCTTAACCCAGTTCTGGATCTTGTAAGCTCCCAGGAATGATTCGTTACTATTGCAGGAAAGGCTGCAGGGCTGGTGGTTTTCACAGGCTCCTCCCTAGTGATCAGAGGCTGCTTGCATGGTATGTCTATTGAGACTGGGGTGCCTAAGAGTGTGAACTCACCTCTGGGGGCTGCCAATCAAGGATGTGGTCAATGTCCATAGTCTTCCGGAACTCCATGTACTGCAAAAGAAAGTGGTAGTTAGGCCTGATGGGGCCCTCAGTATCCTGAGAAGGGGATGGAAGTGGGGGCATGAGGCACAGATTGTCCTTTCTCCCCCTATGAAGCCTGTACACAAACCTCCAGAATGGGCGGGTCTTACCTTGCGGAGCATGGCCTCTGATTTCTGCAGGTTGAAACTTCTAGCTGTGGAAAGATAGAGGGAAGGTATGAGGTGGGTCAGGGTTACCCTATCTTGCTTCTAACTAGTGGGAGCCATGAAGATCCTAGGGGCTTGGGTAGGACCTAGCTTCCTTGCCTCCTCTTCTCTCCTAGATCTGAACACATGAAGCAAGATGCTAGGGATGGATCCTGAGAGCCGTGGGTTGTGAAGCTGTGGGGACCCAGGTCCTCTTGTTGACCCCTCATCCTGACCGCCCCCATCTCTGCCCTCACCTCGGAGCCAACGAAGAAGGAAATAATCATCAGGGTTGGGCAAGGCAGGCAGCACATCCTGGACATTTTCCCGGAACTGGAAAGAGAGACACTGGTTAATATGGTCCTCACACATCTAACCTTGGCCTCCCAACTCAAAGATTGGCTAACCACCCCTCCTTCCCTTCCTCAGGAAGACTGGCCCAACTTGGCGGAAGATTAAGATGATGGATGGATAGGAGAAGTGGGCTTCGGCATAGATGGGCAAGTGAAGGAGTGGTGAGTCTATGGATAAAGGCAGAATGGACGGATGAATGATGGGTGGATGGATAGAAATAAAGGATAAATCAACAGATGAATGGTTAAATATTTAGGTGAATGGGTGAAAGAAGAGATAGGCAGGGGAGTAGAAGGATAGAGAGATGGGTGGGTAAGTGGGAGGAGGAATAGATAGGTGGGTGGGGAGATGGATGGGTGGATAAAGGAAAGAATAGATGGGTGGGTGGGTGAGCAGATGGGATTATGGATGTGTTCTTAGCTCCCTTTGGGCATTGACTCATCTTTCCATCTTTTACAAAAACCATGGTTTTCTCCCTCCTAAAAAGAAAGGAAGGAAGGAGAAGAAAGAAAGAAAGAAAGAAAGAAAGAAAGAAAGAAAGAAAAGAAAAGAAAAGAAAGATATGGCTCACGATTGTGTCCTCTTCTCTATTAGCTATAGGCATGACAATTCTCTGTTCTGTCTCTCTGACCTGGCCCTTACAGATTGGTTTTCCTTTCAGGGTTGTGAGGAAGAAGGACCCATCAGAGGGAAGATGGGCCACATCCTTCAGCTCCCACTCAGGGCGCGAGAGGAAGGAGGTGCGGGGGGTTGAGGGGTGGGGACAGCTGCCAGGTGCAGCTCTTTGGATCTGGCTCCTGAATGCATCACCCACACTATTGCCAGAAACAGAGCTTTCCCCTCAACACCTGTTCTGGACAGGACTGATGTCACTGGGCTGTGTGGGACTTAACCTCAGTGGAGGTGACAGCAAAGATACAATGTCAGGGATGTGCAGAATCAACAGACAGGGGCAGGGTCCTGGCCACCTTTTCGACCCTATCCCTAAGCCTTTTCCCTTGAGGCCCCACAAGAGGGGAATCTCACCTTGGCCAAGGTCTCTGCCTGCTTGGGGCTCAGGTCTCCAACTCGGCCGCTCATGGTTGTTGGGTAAGACTGAGGAGCAGTGACCACTGCAGGCAGAGGCCCAGCCTCATCTGACAGCCCAGACCCAGCTGGGGCCTTTTGCCCCCACTCCTGGGTGTGGCTCAGGCACCTCCTCTGGGCCAACTGTTTGGATTGCACATTACATAACTGGGATTAAGCGAGGTCCCGTGCTTGGCTCTGGGACAGGTCTGGGGGACGGGGAATGGCAGGCCCAGGGGGTGTGCCAGAGATCCTCTGTCAGATGGAGACAGCTGGGAGGGAAGGAGACTAGCCTTCCCTGGGAACACAGGGTGAGGCCTGAAGAGCCCCACTTAGTGCTTTCTGGCTTCCACTGACCACTGCCCTGGAGTAGGGGAAATTTCATGGGGATGGGCTCCACTCCTCATGGGGTACCTTCGCTCCTTGAGCCTCAGTCTCTTCATCTTTCTAATGAAGAGATGTCATACCCAAGCCTCTCAAAGAGCCCCACCAGTCCTGTGGATGGAAGTCTGAGGCTTGGCAGCCTACTGACCAGTCTCTGTGCTGTGTTGAGAGCTGGGGAATGCTCATGCCCTTCCGTTGTAGTGGATACTGACAGTTAAGGAGTGAATAGGCTATAGGTTGGGATATAGCTCAGAGGTAGAATCTGACTGGGAGGTCCTGGATGTAAGGGAGGTGGGGAGCACAGCCTGTGGGGCAGAAAATGGAACTCCAAAATCCTTAGCGAAGGATTGTCTTTTCCACAGGGCTAACACTGCTTTTCCTGATGCCCTTCAACTTCAGTTGCAAGGACCTGGCCCCATAGACTTGAACATAGGAAAAGGCCAGGCACCCCACCCTGCTGTCTATCCAGAACCCCTTGTCTGAGACCTCTGGTTATGTATAGCGCCCATAAAGATTGAGGGCTTGGGAAGGGCAGGTGGATGGCCTTGGTGGCAACTGTGGTTAGTTTATTTATTTGTTTATTTTTATTTTATGTGTATGAGCATATTGCCTGCATGTGTGTAAGTGCACCCATGTCATGCAATGCTCTCGGAGGTCAGAAGAGAGAGTCAGAGCCCCTGGAACTGGAGTTACAGACTGTTGTTACCTGCCATGTGGGTGCTAAGATTCAAACCTGGTCCTTTGCAAGAACAGCCACTGCTCTTAATTGCTGAGCTATGTCTCCAGCCCTGGCAACTGTGTTTTCTTGGGATTTTCACATCTGGCCAGCAAGAGGCCAGGAAAGGAAGAATTTGGTGGGTTATCCATGGCAGATGCTGAGGGAAGCCCAAAGAGTTCCTAGGTCCTTTGTTTTCTGTCCCTTTGCCTGACATTCTACCAGTAGATGGGTCTGAGACCTAGTCCTGACCTCTATAAAACTTTTCAGATGGTATTTCCTGGGGTCACTTGCCTCATTTGTAAACCAGGGCTACTGGCACTTATTCTGCCTCCTTATGAGGTTGGAGGGCAGCTGGGGCTTGTGCATGGCTAGGGGATTATTCTCTCCCAGCTCTTATAAGTTCTGATAAGGGAGAGACCATGTTGCCAATGACTGTCTAGAAAGAAACATTCTGCTGGGAATGTACCTACAATCTTAGCACTCAGAAGGCTGAGGAAGGAGGATTGTAAATTCAAGGACAGCCTAGATTACATAGCCAGACCGTGTCTCAAAACAAACTTCAAGACAATCTGCTTGGGCAAAAATTACCCTTGGGCCAGCCTTAGTTAACATAGGTTAGCTCAAACCACTCTGCCTAAGACTCTCCCATGTTCCCTATCCCTAACCTAGAGCATCTTAGATGTTCAATCTTTGGACCATCCCAGGTCTTTTCTGGGTTAACTCAGGCTTCTTTAGGCAGATGGATGTGATTCCAAACCCTGCCTGGCATTTTCCCTTACTTAAACCCCTGATAGATTTGGGTCCACAGGAGAAGAAGGGGCCACCTTTGGTCATTTCCCTCTATCTGGGGCACTGCTGTGTCACTCTGAAGGGGTTAGGTAACTTTCTATACCCAGCTCCACCCCAGTTTACATTCCAACCACCCACTTCCCCCAGGTTTGCAGCCTGTGGAGATTGAATTCCACAGTCGCTCTCTCATTAGCTCCTAATCCTGCCTCTTTCTCACCAGTCTTCTTTCTCACCCTAATCCCCCTAATGGGAGCAGCCCCAGTTGCTTCTTGGACACCAGAGGCTGGGCAGGAGGGCCTGGAGGAGAGGTAAGGTCCTTCCAACAGCCGTGGGGCTTCACGGAAACTCTAAGCACTTCTGATGACCACAAGTCTGCTGAACAGTTTGTTGTGCAAATAACCTCTCACTGTTAACAATGTCAACCAATAGAACTTCCTGTGACAATGGGCATGGTTGGTATGGCCTATCCTATTTAATGAATTGGTCACTAGCCGTGTGGGAAGTATGGTTGGTATAATAGAGGAACCGAAGTCTGGGTTTTTGTTGTTGTTCTAAGAGGGTCTCACAGTGTAGCCCAGGCTGGCCTCAAATCCAATAGCCTCCAGGTTCACCTCCCAAGTGCTGGGATGACAGGTGTGTGCCACCATTCCCAGCTTTTTTTAAAATTTTAATTAAAAAAAAATTTTATGTGAGCTGGGCATAGTGGCACACACCTTTAATCCCAGCACTTGGGAGGCAGAGGCAGGTGGATCTCTGTGAGTTCAAGGCCAGCCTGGGCTACATAGTGAGTTCCAGGACAGCTGGGGCTACAGGGAGACCTTGTCTCAAAAAGACAAAAAAAATTATTTTATGTGTATGAGTATATTGCCTGCTTGTAGGTAAGTGCACCCGTGTCGTACAATGCCTGCAGAGGACAGAAAAGGCTGTCAGATCCCCTGGAGCTGGAGTTATGGATGCTTGTTAGCTGCCATGTGGGTGCTAGGATTCAAACCCAGGTCTTCTGCAAGAACATCCAGTGTTCTTAACTGCTGAGCCATCTCTTCAGCCCCATACCCAGCTTTTAAAACTGTAACCCAGACTCATGTTGAATGCTAATTACCAGTGTGTGCCACTATGGCTGGCAGAACTGGAGTTTTAATTGAGTCTCTCTCTCTCTCTCTTTCTCTCTCTCTCTCCTTGAGATTTAACCTAGGGCCTAGGCAAGTGCTCTACCACTGAACTACATCCCCAGTCCTTTTTTTTTTTTTTGGTCTTTTTGAGACAGGGTCTCCCTGTAGCCCCAGCTGTCCTGGAACTCACTATGTAGACCAGGCTGGCCTTGAACTCACAGAGATCCACCTGCCTCTGCCTCCTCAGTACTGGGATTAAAGGCATGCACCACCACACCTGGCCCCTAGTCCTCTTTTTTTTAAAAAAAATATTATTTTTATTTTATGTGTATGCATGTATTGCCTGCATGTAGGGAAGTGCACCCGTGTGCAATGCCACAGAGGTCAAAAGAGGGCGTTGGATCCCCTGGAACTGGAGTTATGGACAGTTGTTAGCTACCCTGTGGGTGCTGGGATTCAAACCCGGGTCTTCAAACCTTTTATTTTGGGATAGGGTCTCACTAAGTTGTATAGGCTGGTCTGGAATTTACTTTGTAGCCCAGGTGGGCTTTGAACTCCAAATCCTCCTCCTCAAGCTTCCTGAGTAGCTGAGATTACAGATTTGCTCCACTAGGCTTGACATGTATTTATTTGAACTTTACTTTAAATGTTACCCTGTGGTTCGCAGCTAGGACGATCACATCCAGTGAAGTCATGCTGCATGCATCCCATCTCAAAAGCGTTCCATCTCAGGACTCCTATATTAAACCTCACTTACCCGTGGCTCAGGAACCATTTTGGAAGAGGTGGCAGAAAGATTGTAAGAGACAGGGTTGGTCCAGGAACATAAGGAAACAGAGACTTTTAGGCCACCAGAAACTTGCACATGTGAATTTGTGGCAATGGTGGTGTCGAGCACAAGATCCATGCCAACTTAATTAGACAAGGGCCCAGAGTGGTAAGAGGGAAGTGGGCCATGGGCCAACCCTAGCCTGAGAATTGTTGGAGACTGACTACTGCTGAATGAGGGAGAGAAGACCTTCCTTAAGATCTCTAGATAGGCTGAATAGACTCCAGTAGATGAACTTGCACCGAAGGACATCTGGGTAAAATGCTTGACTGGATGGGGCTTAACATCTATGGCACAATACATGAGGCCCAGTGAGGGGGAGCAAGGATGGGAGAGGGGGTCTTAATTTCATTAAGAACTGTTATACAGGGGCTGGAGAGATGGCTAAGTGGTTAAGAGCACTGGCTGTTCTTTCAGAAGACCTGGTTTCGATTCCAAGCACCCACATGGTGACTAACAACTGTCCCTAAGTCCAGTTCCAGGGGATTCAATGCCCTTTTCTGATTTCTGCGGGCATTGCATGACATGGGTGCACCTACATATATGCAGGCAATACACTCATACACATAAAATGAAAATAATAAATAAAATATTTTAAAAACTGTTGTATGAAGTGTACAAAAACTCAATAAAAATATTTTTTAAAGTGTTCTATCTCCATTAGATATAAGAGCCTCCTTAGGGGGTGCTAGGTACCATTGCTCAACGTACTGTACAGATGAGCAAACTGAGACCTGGCAGAGCAGTTAAATAGCTCATTCAGGGCTAAGCCTGTGCCATTTCCCATTTGGTTGTCACACTGATATACTGTCCTACAGGCTCAGCTCTAGGAGTTCACACTAGTAAGGGATGGGACTGAGCACAGAGGTCACCCCAATGTGAAGTGACATATGGCTGCTCATCTTATGGTGGCTAGGAAAGAGAGGGAAGGAAGGAGGGAGAAAGAGAATCCAGGGACAAGATAAATGCTTCAAAGGCATACCCCCAGGGACCCACTTCTCCAAGGCCTCACCTATAAGAATCCATTCAGCATGAACTCATCAATGGATTAACCCACTGATGAAGTTAACACCTTCATGATCCAATCATCTCAGTAGTGCCCTCAGCTGGAGACTAGTCCTTCCAACATTAGCCTTTTGGGGGTGGAGAACATTTCATACCGAAACTATTAAAGACAGTGAGATGCTCTTGGGGGTAGTGGCAGGATACTGTACCAAGCACCTTCTTGTGGAGAGTACTCATTTACCGGTTGTACTGGATAGCTTTAG